AGAAAACTAAAAGTAATAATTATATTAAGAAAACATTTGGACCGTTAGTTACAATTGTTTTTAGATGGACGCTGTATAATTTTTTAAACATAATTTGATCCTAATTTTTAGAAAACACTTAAATCCATCTTTAAGATGGATGCTTTATACCTCTGGACCACATATTGTAGAAATACTGTCCAGCCCACATAAAACAATTTTTCTTAATTTAAATATGGAAGTTCATTATTTTTTACTTTTTCCTTTGTTTTTTTTTCTTTCTATAATCTGGTAGAGATTTTGGTCTCTTCGTCATAAACCCTTTTTTGATATTTTATTTTTTTCCCTTTGTTCAGGGTGGAATGAATCTGCATGGTCTAAGAAAATGGCTTTTTGCATGTATCCGTTTTTTTTTTTTGTTTTTTTTTGTCGTAATTTATTTAGTATCTTGCACTGATATGATGAAAATATGAGTGCATCAGAGTCAGAGATCAGTTGTGGGTTGGGATATTTAAGTCCTGTTCATCATGTCGCTAAGCCAACGCTATTATGTTTTTGTTTGTAATTTGTGTATTTTCTCACAATTTGTTGATGAAACTATGGAGTTCATCGGATTTCGAGCTCAGTTGTGGGTTGTGATATTTAAGTATAAGGAAAACAATTGTAATGAATAAAAAGAAGAATTGATGAATGAAAAGAAGGGGAACAGGGCTTCAAGAAACGCATACTTGTGTGTAATAATGCGTATATAAAAATAAAATGTATAATTTTCAGTTGTTTTTTATTGTTATTGTATATTTGTGTAGGGATAATGTGGTCTACACTAAATATGTATTTGTATATAAACCCTTTTAGGGTTTCATTTTTTGTTAATGAGAATTGATCAATATAGTTTCTCTCTCTAGACTGTTCTTGAGCTCTGCATCTTCTCTGAATCTAACATGGTATCAGAGCAACAAAGATCCGATCATCTCTTCTCTGTTGCTACTCACAAATTGCTTTTCTTGTGAAGGTCAGTAATCGATTTCCATTTACTTTGCCTAATCATCCATGATTAGAGCTATAATTGATCTCTTAAATTTTCATATGCAAAATTTTCGTTGTAAATTTGCAACTCTTTCGGTGCATCTGCATATTTGCAACTCTTTGAAACCGTTCGTTGCATAGCAGTTGAAACTCTTTGAAACTCTTCATTGCTAATGTGCAGCCCTCTCATTGCAAACTTCGTTTCAAATAGTTGCGTATGAGTGAGTTTTTGTTACCCATTCTCATCCTTCAAAAGCCTTTGACTTCAAATTCTCCTGTCTCTATTTTGTCTCCTCTCCCAAAAGTGTCAAACTCATGCAAGCTCTCTCTCTCTCTCTCTCTCTCTCTAATGCTCCACCATTTGTGATTTGTTCCTTTCGCTGCAAATAGGTTCATACCTGATGGTCTCATAGAGAGAGAAAGTACGAGATTGTTCTCTCACTTTTTGGCCCTCAAATTTGTCTTTTGATATATATCATCTACTTTTAAAGAGCTATCGGATCACTAAAAATATTGGTTTTAATCCACTTTTCAAAGCTTGGAGAAACTGATTGCTAAAAAAAAAACAAAAGAAAAAAAAGAAGAAAATCTTGGCCGATATTTATCCTATCGAGTTGGAGTTGTTTTGGTGTTCTAGTAGCTTTGCTTTACTTTTGAGTTCTTCTATACTCTTGCATTCGTGTGTACTTCGTGTAAGTCATACCTCTTATTATCATGGAATCAAAGAATCATACCGAGAGTGCTACTATTTCTATGCATCTTGATGGGAAGAACTATTGCTTGTAGTCTTTCCAAATGAGACGTTTTATCATGGGACGGAAGTTATGGGGCTATATTGATGGTTATGTTCTCCAGCCTGAAGATGAGAATGAGCGTCGTGATTGGTTTGCTATAGATAACTCTATTGTGACATGGATTATGAACTCAGTTGAGCCCAAAATTAGGCGCAACCTCACGTATTAATGTCGTGCCAAAGCAATGTGGGATTATTTATAGAAGATTTATTCTCAAGTCAATAGTGGCCATTTGTATACCTGTGAATAGGAGAGCATGAAGACACAATAAGGGGACTCATCAAATCAAGATTATTTTAATACTCTTTCAAGTACATGGAATGAGATGGACTCAATGGAGACATAGCCATCCACTGGAGCTGTTATTAAAGCACAAAATTGATCTCGTTTATTTCACTTTCTTATGGGGATCGAAGTTTGAAAGCATGAGAGGATCAATCCTTCAGTGTACTCCCACTCTACCATTAAATAATTGTCTCTCAGATCTCCTTGTTGGAGAAACTCGCTTAAGCTCACTTGGGGTTTGCAAATCTACATTACAAGATGTCATTGATGTGGCCTTAGCCACGTTTAATTTTCAACAAAGTGGCCACCCGGCCAATCGATACAAGAAGCGCATTTTTTGCAATTATTGTAAGAAGCTCGGGCATGTCATAAATGATTATCGAAAATGCCCTCAAGCATGTGGGAAGCCTCATGTACATTGTCAGACTCAATGAGCTACAATCGCCTCTATTCCTAGTTCCCCCAGCACTTTCATTTTGCCTCCACATCTATTACCCCTTATATCCATGCCAGATCTTCACTCTATTGACTCAACTATACTCTAACAACTTGCTCAGGTTTTGGCTGCCATGGATTTTTCAGGTAACTCAAATCCTTTATCAAACACTTGGATGATAGACTCAGGGGCATCAAATCATTTGACAGGACAACTTTTGCATTTATCCTCGGTAAAACCCCATTATGAAAACATGATTTAGTTTACTGCTAATGAGTCTCTACCACTCTGGTAATACCGGTGTCCTTGGTTCATCTGATAACTTCTTAGCATTGAAAGATGTTCATCATATTTCCAACCTTACTTTGAATTTAATATTTATTGGTCAGTTAGTTGATAACAAGTGCCTTGTTTCTTTTTCTAATAAAGGTTGTGTGGTGTAGGATCTAGTAACAAGGAAAGTGATTGGGAGAGGCACTAAGTAGGGTCGGCTTTTCACAGTTAGTTTCAGTGAAGCTCATTCACATCTTTCACAAGCTCTGCCAGTTTGTCATCTTTCCCCCTCTCCTCATGAAATAAGGCAATCAAATTTTCTTTGGTATGTTTGACATTGTAGGTTAAGACATCCACATTCTCAGAAAATGCTTTCTCTTTTAAATTCTGGACTTTTACCTACTGGTTTCTCTCAAAGAAAATTTGATAAGAATATTGTTTGTAAGAGTTGCAAGTTGGCAAAACACTTGGCTCAACCTTTTCCTCATAGCAATAATAAAAGTATCCATCATTTCTCTTTAGTGCACACTGATGTTTGGGGCCCTGCTCATATTCCTTCAATAAATGGATTTTCTTATTATGCTATATTTATTGATGATTTTTCTAAATATACTTGGATTTATTTTCTTAAACACAAGTCAAGTATGTTTAGTGTTTTTAAATACTTCCATAATATGATAAAAAATCAATTTGACAAAACATTAAAGTTTTTAGGTTTGATTCTGGGGGGGAGTATCTATCTAATGAATTTCAAGCATATCTTCGTACAAATGACATTATTCATCAACGTTCATGTCCTTATACCCCGGAACAGAATAGAGTTGCTGAAAGAAAATATCGCCATATTCTTAAAACCACTCATTCGCTTCTTATTAGCTATCATTTCCTAACAAACATTTGAGCTGAAGCGATGCCTAATCCTGTCTATCTTGTTAATCTTCTTCCTACACTGATTTTACAAAATGTGTCACAATTTCAAAAGATTTTTTAAAACCCCCCCGATTACTGACATTTACGTGTGTTTGAGTGCACATACTTTGTATTTTTACCATCTTCTACTCGTGATAAACTCTCACCTAAGTCTATCAAATGCATGTTTGTAGGTTATCCAACAAATCAATAAGGATATTGTTGTTTTGATCATTCTATTAATCGTATTAGAATATCTTGACATGTTACATTTTTCGAGCACATACCTTTCCACCAACATTGTCCACATCCTAATTCAACCACACATGGACTTGAGTTTTCATTTTTTCCTAGTTTCAATATTCCTCCTTCTCATTATTATGAAACTTAGGGATTACCACATTCAGTAACTAACTCTGATAAGCTGTCTTTGTCAAGTGTTAATCATGCATCACCTCCAGTTGTTGATCCTTCTACTGGCCTTGTTCACCTTCGACGGTCACTTCGAAAGCCTGTTCCACTTGATCGTTAACCCATACCATACTTGTTCTCCTGCAACCATTACTAATCCCTTGTTTTATGAGCCATCTTCTTATTCTCAGGCATCTATCCTCCAATGCTAGCGTATAGCTATGAATAAGGAAATTGCAACTTTAGAAGCAAATCATGCTTGGGATTTTATCCCATTGCCTCTAGAAAACCATGCCAATGGTAGTAAATGATTTTATAAAGTCAAGTTATGAGCTGATGGCACTCTTGATAGGCACAAGGCTCGATTAGTTGCTCAGGGTTATGCCCAGGAGCATAGCATCGATTATAAAGAAACTTTTTCTTCAATTGTTAAGATGACAACTATTCGTACTTTTATTGCACTTGCATCTATTCGTGAATGGCCTATATGGCAGATGGCTATCAAAAATACATTCCTTAATGGCGAACTTCAAGAGGAAGTTTATATGCGTCAACCACCTGGGTTTGTTTCTTAAGATAAGTCATTGGTCTGTTGATCTCGTAAAGCAATTTACACTCTCAAACAAGCTCCCCGTATGTGGTTTGAGCGTTTTTGGGTTGTCATTCTTGTAACTTGCTTGACGCAAAGTAAACATGATGACTCCATGTTATTCGTACCACAAAGCATGAACTTTGTATTATTTTATTATATATTGAAGATATTCTTATCTCTGGCAATGATTTCAATTCCATCAAGGATGTGAAGCTACACTTGCAAGAAGAATTTCAAATAAAGGACCTTGAGGAAGTATCTTATTTTCTTGGCCTTGAGATCTCTCACTCTAAACATGGTATTTATATCCATCAACAAAAGTATGCACTTGATCTTGTTTCTAGTGCCCCGCTTGAATGATGCGAAGGTTGTTGATACACCCATGGAACTCAATATTAAACGTTCTGCACATGTTGGAGATCCTCTTTTTGAGCCTACAATGTATCGCAAACTCGTTGGCTTCCTCATCGATCTTATTATGACTCGTCCAGATATTGCATATGTTGTCCATGTTATGAGCCAATTTGTTTCAGATCCTCGACAACTACATCTATCAGCAGTTCATCTAATTTTATGTTATGTTCGAGGTACTTCTATTCGTGGATTATTCTTTGACTCCACGTCCTCTTTAGATCTTAGTGCATATGCAGATGTAGATTGGGCAGGATATTCAGATACTTGCCGTTCTACTACAAGATATTGTGTGTTTCTTGGGTCATCATTAAATTCATGGAAGAGCAAAAAACATGACACTGTTTCCAAGTGAAGCATTAAAGATGAGTATCGTACTATGTCCTCTGTTACTACTGAGATTGTTTGGGTTTGTGCTCTTCTTAATGAGTTTGATATCTCTATTTTAAATCCCACACGTTTATATGTAGATAATCAAAATGCAATTAAGATTGCATCTAATCCAATTTTTCATGAGCAAACAAAGCATATTTACGTAGATTGTCATTATGTTTGTGACCGTTATCTTGATGGTACATTATCTCTCCCTTATGTTTCTTCTACTGTGCAAACGGCTCATATTTTCACCAAATCTGTCACTCGGAGCCGTCATGATTTTCTAGTATATAAGCTAATGCTTTCCTAATGTCCGCATTAGCTTGAAGGAGGCTAATAATGTGTATAAAAAAATAAAATGTATAATTTTCAGTTGTTCTTTATTGTCATGGTATATTTGTGTAGGGATAATGTGGTCTACACTAAATATGTATTTGCCCTTTTAAGGTTTCATTCATTGTTAATGAGAATTGATCAAGATAGTTTCTCTCTCTAGACTGTTCTTGAGCTCTGCATTTTCTCTAAATTTAACAGTGTGCGCAAATTTGCTGAAATTTGGAAAAAGAGGAGCTCCTTATGAGGCGTCCTCTACTTATATGCCTCTCCCTATCTACCCATCCAATTTAGATCAAGTGAGCCACTAACTGTTTGATCTACTGCATAGAAGATAACTATTAAAAAAAAAAGATCTACTGCATAGAAGATATATGCTTCTTCCCATCTAGCCATACAATTTAGATCAAGCTACTAACAGTTTGATTTAGATCCGATGCCCCAAATTATTTTATTTTTAGTTTTTTTCTACAAATTATATGAATATGAAGTTTGATATGTTACATCAACTCAATGAGGCACAACTACCCAGCACTATGCAAACACGAGCACCATATAAAATCTCAAAAGAAAAATGGGCAAGGCAAGCTTTCTATACTTCCCCTATTGTAGGGTAATAGCACTCCTCTACACTGTTTTATTTTAAATTTTTTTTATAAAACATTTTTAGACCAAAATTTGGGCATCCACTCCTCTCTTAAACTTGCATATGCCGAAAATATAAAAGCAATATTCATAATAAATAAAACGACCATAATACCCCTAAACTTTTTCGAGGTATTTTGATTATTTTTATTCCATAAAAAATATATATTTTATGCACCCCATTGAGATGGGGACACATATAAATTTCATATTCATATAATTTTAAGAATAGAAGGTGCCATCAAATGGTAAACGTCTTATTTGATATAAATTGATCGGCTGGATGGGTCAAGTAGAGAAGTATAGAAACCTTTCCGGATACAAAAAGCATACACTCTCAAGGTGACATGAGAGTATAGGTGTACCTGGAGAGTGTATACAGTGCTCACATCTACGAATCTGAGCCGTCGATCATGTCACCGTACGCTATACTCTCTTGTCTTTCTCTAAGAGATATTGGCAAGCCCCCCCGCATACGAAGTGTAAGAGATAGTGTATAGGGATGGTCTTTTTGTCTCTCGGGTATTTTAATCTCGTATCTCTCTATTATGCACGCTGCTATGCTCTTCATCTGAATGTATGCCATATCTTTGCCCAGGCAGAGCCTGGGCCCAGCATGGAATATCGGATATTTGAAACTACTCACCGGCGAAAAAACCCCCTTTTGGAGCCATCTGTCGGGCCGGAATTCGGCATAGTCTCGGCCCCAGATCGCCTCCATCCGGCCCATGGCATACGCACTGTACGTTATAAACCAACCTTTTCCAACGAAAGTTCCATCGGGTAAAACGTCGTCTTTTAAGCAGTGCTTCGAGTCCATTGGAACCGGTGGATAGAGCCGCATTGACTCTGTGAGCGAGGCATGTAGGTAATGCATGTCCTTCAGTTCTTCGTAGCCGAAATTTTGGCCGTGGCCGTACGTTTCGCGAATGTTTTGGATCTCGGCCAGGATGTTCTTTTCGACTTCGGGGTGGCACGTCAGTAGCCAAAAGAACCTCGACAGCGCCGATGACGTGGTGTCGCGCCCCGCCAAGATGAAGCTTATGACCACGTCGCGGAGGAGCTCGTCGGAAGATCCAAACCGTTGATCGGCCATAAAGCGCGATATCAGATCCTGACCATTCATTTCGTTCATCTGCTTGTCAGAGGATCCAAGCATTTGATCGGCGGCTGAGGGTGACATGAGGTCCTGGTCGTTGGATTCCATCCCGGCATAGCGGGCCCGGACAATCCCGTTGGCATAGACGTGGACGACACGTACACAATCGCTGATCTTCTTCTCGGATGCCACGTGGCAGAATTTCAGAACTTTCCAGAAGTGGGGTACAATGCCGAGGAACCTCCATGCGGAAAGAACCGTTGCCTCCTCAAAAGCAGCTAAGAAGGCATTTTCCCGCATCTTTAGCGTCTCTTTTTCACGGGAAACATCATCAAACCCGCCGGAATTGACTAAACATTCACCGGAAACTTCATATTTTTCGACGGATTTAACTGAACTTTGGCCTGTAGTTTTGCCCGCAATTGTTGATTTCTCACTGAAAGTTCTGTATTCCTTGTCGGAAAATGAAGATTCTTGGCCGGAATTTTCTGAATTTTTGCCAGAATTCATCGGAAAGAACTCCAAGCATGCTGGATCGCTGCCGAAAGCCACTTTGCAGACATTATCGAATGCGAATCTCTCCAAAACGTCCTGCAAATCGATCAATTTCTGACTCGAACTCACGAATTCGAGTAGAGGGATCAACCTCTGGTTAATCTCGCTTTGCACCACGCTGAGCATGAAGGTCCTCAGCGACTTCGTGCTGAACTGAAAGCTCGCCGTCTTGCGTTGGATCTTCCATGTGTCGCCATCGGCGTTGAAGATGCCATCGCCGAGAAAATCATGCAGAAAGGAGATGAACCTAGGACCTTTAGGGTAATTCTCGAAATTGTTTTTCAACATGTGCTCTACGTTCAGAGGATTAGCAGTCACGACATCCGGGACACGGCCTAGTCGCCAGTGTGTGACCGTCTGAGTGGGGCTCCGGGAGAGGAGCTCGGTCGTCCATTCCAGGAACCGGTGGCGATTAAGCATGAACTCGATGAGGCTGCCGACAATGGGATAAGCTTTAGGCCCTAAGTATGATACTTTGGGGTTGGGGCCAAGGGCATTATGGTAAAAGTGGCGGATTACGAGGAGAAAGGAGAGGAAGAAGAGGGAGTAGAAGACGAAGAGGAGGGCCATTCTGATGGCCGACTGCAAGGATTTCCCCCGTATTAATGGCCGTAAACCTCCTCCTTTCTCTCTCTCTTACGTACAGTTTCTAAGACTATAGGTATTTTAATGCTTATTAGTTTCAATAAATGGATACTTATCCTCTAGACTCATACTCACTCATAAACTACGCTTGTTACTATTTAAGAAGAAATATTAATACTACCTTATCATCTAGAGTCATCTACCCTATTTTTGTTATCACTTATTATTTAAGGAATGGTGTTTTCTAAACATATAGGCATTTTAATACTCATTAATTTCAATAAATGAATACTTACCCTCTATAGTCACAGGGGCGTGCTTGATAACAGGAAGTGTTTTTCTGAAAGTGGGAACTTATTAATATGGTTCATGTTTCGTGTTTGATAAAAAATAGAAGTTCAAATGGAAACTTCACGGTACTGTTCATCTTCTTATCTCGCGTGTAAAATCAGTTCTGACCAAAAGGTCGGAACTTAAAATTGGAACTTCGTTTTAGAACTTCACCCCCGAACCCTAGTTCTTCTTCTTTTCTTCTCTTTGTTCCCATCTTCAGCTGCTGGGCACCCCTCTCTTCGTAGCACAACCACTCTCTTTTGTTCTTCGTGTTCAGCCGTTGAGCCACCCCTTTCTTCATAGCACTCCACTATCTCAGACGGACTCCTTTCTTCACAAGTAGCCCTTGCTAGGGTTTACTCAGCTTTCTTGACCTCTGATCCTTGCTATTGATATTGAGGTATACTATTGACTCTCATTCTCTCTGTGTTATTGATCTCTATGTTTGTTCTTAAGCTTTTGAAGCAAATAACTCTTATTCTCTCAGTGTCAATGATCCCTATGTTTGTTCTTGAGCTCTTGAAGCAAAGAGCTCTTATTCTCTCTCTGTTATTGATCTTGAGGTATGCTATTGACTCTGATTTTCTTCATCTCTCTCTCTCTATCTCTGATCCTTCCTATTGAGCTTTGATCTGTGTTCTTCATCTTTCTCGAGGTATTTGCCCTCGACTGCCCTAACCACAACAAATATTATTGATGTGTTTTATTTAATAAAATCAGAGTGAATAACATACCTTTTATTTATGATTTTATAATTTTTTTGCAACAGCCCTATAGATCAGAGCTCAATTACAACAAAAATATAGCTCAGTTACAAACTGATTATTCAAACAGTTTGTAATAAAATCTGAGTTCTTTTTTTTTTTTTGTATTTATTTGGCAATTTTATAGATTTTTCGTAATAGCCCAATAGATCAGAGCTCAGTTGCAAAAAAAATAAAGCACAGTTACAAATTGATTATTCAAACAGTTTGTAATAAAATCTGAGACCTTTTTTTTTGTGCGTTTATTTGGTGATATTACAGATTTTTTGCAACAGCCCAATAGATCAGAGCTCAGTTACAAAAAAAACATAGAGCTCAGTTACAAACTGATGATTCAAACAGTTTGTAATAAAATATGAGTCATTTTTTTGTGTTTATTTGGCTATTTTACATATTTTTCGTAATAGCCCAATAGATTAGAGCTCAGTTACAAAAAAAATAGAGCTCAGTTACAAACTAATTATTTAAACAGCTTGTAATAAAATCCGAGTCCTTCTTTTGTGTTTATTTGACGATTTTACAGATTTTTCCTAACAGCCCAATAGATCAGAGCTCAGTTACAAAAAAAATAGAGCTCACTTACAAACTGATTATTCAAACAGTTTGTACTAAACTTTGAGTCCTTTTTTTTTGTGTTTATTTGGCTCATTGGATTACTCAGCATAGACTTTGATGAGTTGATTAAGATTTTGCTGAGTTGCAGATTTTTCCTAACAGCCCAATAGATCAGAGCTCAGTTACAAAAAAAGTAGAGCTCAGTTACAAACTGATTATTCAAACAGTTTGTACTAAAATTTGAGTCCTTTTCTTTTTTGTGTTTATTTGGCTCATTGGATTACTCAGCATAGACTTTGATGAGTTGATTAAGATTTTGCTGAATTGCAAGGGGGTGAGTTCCTTCTCCTGAGCCCCATTTTCAAACATTGGATAAAGCAAAGTGATCAACATCTGGAAATGCCCCGATTTTTGAACGTTAAGTATAACATTTTCGAATGTTGAACATCCAAATTTAAAACATTTTCGGATGTTCAACATCTAAAAATACCCTGATAGTTAAATAAACATTCGTCTTCTCTGTTTTTGGATGTTGAACATCCAAAAATCTCTTAAATTTGGATGTTCAACATCCGAAAATGTTATACTTAATGTTAAATTATTGGGGTATTTTCGGATGTTGAACATACAAAAATTCTTTAATTTCAGATGTTTAACATTCGAAAATAGTAAATTTAACGTTTAACTTTAGGCCTATTTTCGGATGATGAATATCCGAAATTCCCACCAATTCGGATGTTCAACATCCGAAAAATGGTAAAGTGGTATTTTTTAAAAAACTGTGTTATAAAATGTAAAAAACGGGCATACATGTAATAACGAAGCCTATTTTTTATGTCAAAAAAATAGGGAAAAAGGGTTGTGAAAAAATCAATTAGTGGTGGGGGTATTTTAGAAATAATCCAAAATGAAGGAGAAATATCAAAATAAGTTTGTCAAAAACACTTTCCAATTTTTGTCAAAATTATAAAAAAATAAAAAATTATAAATACAATTTTCATTTTTTTAAAATTTTTATATATATTTTTAATAATTTAATAGTTGATGTTGTAATTTCTCTTGAATGTACATTCATGAAAACAAATTCCCAAATACTCCATATTTATTATGAATCTAAAACGATATGGAAATTTTTAATTCTTTGCCACCCTTACTCTAAACGGTGAAGGGGTTGGTTTAATCAAAAGGGGTTCAACTAGTGGTTGGTTTAATCAAAAGGAATTCAACTAGTGGTCTAATTTTTTTCAATAAAAATGTAAGGACCAAAATTTTCTCCGATTCCAGTGACATGCACGGCGATGGAGAGTGAGATAGAGGCCTAGTGCGGTTTGGAGCATCGCCGCGTGTGTTTAAGATACAACACCGGCTGTGTAAGGAAGACACAACGTCGATTGTGTAAGGAAGATGCAGCGCCGACTATGTAAGGAGGACGCAGCGTCGGTTGTGTAAGGGAGACGCAGCGCCGACTGTGTAAGGGAGACGCAGTGCCGGCTTTGTAAGGAAGACCCAGCGCCGACTATGTAAGGAAGAGCGCCGGCTACGTAAGGGAGACGCAGTGCCGGCTGTGTAAGGAAGACGCAGTGCCGGCTGTGTAAGGAAGACATAGCGCCAGCTGTGTAAAGAAACTCAGCGCCATCTATGAAATGAGAGCAAGAAAGAGCAGCATCGTACGTCTCAGCGCCGCTTCGTACACATCAGCGCCGAGTGTGACTGTGTCAACCACAGTGCTTTCTAACCACCCTCTCATTTTTAAGCCTTTTTCCTCCCTTGGGCAGCACGGTCTCCCCCATTTCCCAACTCTCTCTCTCTCTCTCTCTTGAAGCTCACTGCTGCCCCTCGAAAGACATCCAACTGGTGGAGCTAAGGAAGCCCGTGAGTGAGGATCGAAGACACCATGGGAGTCAAGGTAAGTGGGTTTAACTTTATGCATCCATGGTTTTGTAAAGATCAAATATTGAAAGGGGGTAAAATGATAGAATGAAAAACTGTGAGGTACGAATGGGTGGATAAGTGATTGAAATTTTAGAATCACGCTTCTAAGTGCCATGACTGATTTAACCATATAAATGATCTTGTTATTCATGAAAAGTCATAGAATAGCTCACTGCGAGACTTGTTAACACGAACAAGGTTCCATGCCCCAAGGGTACCTTGGCCATGAAGCATTTAAGTGTTCTTCTAAAGCATGTTAATTTGAGAATACGAATTTCTAGAACTGTAACCCTCTTTGGGCTGTGCCTTTGACCTAGCAAACGGTGTCCAAAAACCTTCAAATTGCCACCATTAGAAAGGTCTTGAATGTACTCAAAGTTGTATGTTTTGAGGTTTTTAAAATTTCCCACGGATTTTAATTATGCCCTGAAATACGTGAATATGTCACTGCGCACTGCTGTAGGGAAAATTTCCAGCAACTAATGCTCACTTTGTACTAAGTTATTGACGCATCAAATGGCACCCATATTCTTTCAAATCACTATCTTTCTAAAGGTCTGCGTATTAGCTCAAAGTTTCATGTTTGAAGCATTTCGAAACTCCCCCTAGTTCGGGAGCTATGCTCTCGCAAAGAGGGGCATGTCACTGTTACCTGTCACTGCATCAATTTTATGACCATGCGGCCTAAGTTATCTTGATATATGATAAATGTGAATGTCTTATGATAAATTTCATGCGAATGCCATAAAGATTTGTGAATGATGTCGTATAACTGCACTTTGTGAGAAAAAGGGGCCACGAGCGCAACATCGATGAAATGAGTTGATAACGAATACCAAAATGCTACTGAGAAAACTTGTGTAAATGCCCTGTGAAAGCTTATGAAATATATATCTTTTGCTAAATACTATGATGTTATGATGAAATATGATTCATCTATATGAGGCATTGACTGATACAAATGAATTGAATACTCGAATATGTTGAATGGCCACTGCTTATATTGATATTGACCACTACACGATGGAGCACTCACCGGTAGTGGATACTGTTATGATATTGTGATGAATGGCCACCACTTATATGGATATTGGCCACTACACGGTGGGACACTCGCCGGTAGTAGATACTATTATGATATCGTCTGCTACACGATGGGACACTCATCGGTAATAAGGAAAGTGACGCCGGCATATCCCCTAACCTGCATAATGATAGGAACGGGTTAAGGGAGAGGATAGAGGGTCGCACCCTAGATTCACGAAATGAAATGAAATGAGATGAAATATACGATTGGTGCCTTGCAAGGTAAGGGCCTATCGAACCTCCAATGCACGTTAAGGACCGTGTGCGTGTGTTGAGGCTATTACGAAGTGGATTACTACACTTGTCATTACCCTCCCTCCTGTATGATGGTAGATGTCTTAAGCAATGAGATTGGTTTAGCTTGATGGATAGGGCCTCTACTGTGGGAGTAGGTGATTTAGGGAGTGAGTGGGTAATGATTGAATTTCTGAATAAGGAATGTTTAGGATTGCACTGATTGAATGTTAATGATTTCATTGGTTGAATGCTCATGATCGCATTGATTTTGTGATAACTGTTGTTTAAATGAAATCTTCATAGTCGTTGTCTTGACCTGATATTCATATATGCTAAACTCTGACTTTATATGGATGGATTGAACTATTATTACACATGGATAGAATTACTATAGATGCATAACTCTAGAACTGCTTACTGGGCTTTCGAGCTCATTCAACTATTTTTTCCTCCTTGTAGACTGAGAGCAGCAGGTCCAGAGTCAGGAACTCAGGTTGCAGTTGGGGATTCTGCGCAGCTATTTGGAGAAGGAGTTAGTGCCTGTATGTAGTTGGGCTCTTAGCCCTATTTGTAATTGTTTCATGTAAACTCTGAAATCACGGGCCTTGGGGCCTCGAACTTTATTGTAGAAATTTTGGAAAAAAGAATATTATGTAATATCTTTTGGATTAGTGGATTTGCCAAGTTAATTTTTTGTTAAATATTGTATGTAGTTATTTCCATGGTTTGCTCGATTACCGAAATTAAAGGCATTCTGTCACTCCTACTTGAGTAACAAATGTTACATTGGATTACGAACCCACGCTCGATCACCCCTCATCGCGTAAGGTACGGTGGTCGAGGGCACGACCGTGACAGATATGCTATTAGAGCTGTCAGGATAGGATTATTGGCCTAGGGAGTTTAGGAGAGTCCTTAGATTAGTTTTGGGGTAGACAAGTGACTAGGTGTTCTTGTGATTAGGTTAAAAGATGCCGAGAGCTCATACCCACAACACGAGTTTTAATAATGAAACTACTGAGGCACTCGAAACTCTGGGGGCTCGACCCAAATGATGAAGGAATAGATGCCAACCCAGTTTACCCCTACACCAGAGCAGAATGACAGTAGCCTCATGGAGAGGTTTAGGAGAATGGCACCCCCAACCTTTTTGGGGCATGGAGGAGTGGAGAAGGTTGAGAGGTGGAAGAAATAAATGGAGAAAATTTTAGAGGTATTGCATTGCTCGAATGAGCAAAAAGTTAGGCTAGGGTCCTTTATGCTGAAAGGGAAAACAGAGTATTGATGGGACTCGGTGAATTGGACTTGTAGGGAGATAGGGATTGAGGTCACCTGGGAAAACTTCTTCGCAGCATTTGATGAGAAGTACTTCTCTGATTCAGTTAAGGAAATGAAGGAAGTAGAATTTATTGAACTCCAGCAAGGGAGTATGACTGTTAAACAATACATCGTCCAGTTTGCAGAGCTCTCTAGGTATGCGCCCCACATCATAAGTACTGAGATCCGAAAGGCGTCGAAATTTGAAAGGGGCTTGCGACTAGATATCAGGAGTAGAGTGATGTCGACCAATATAAAGTCGTACGCCTCGATAGTTGACCATGCCTTGAAGATTGAAAAAGACTGCGAGGATCGCAGGTTAAGGAAGGAAGGAAAAATGAAAGCGGTGCCGTCGAGAAAGTTTGCGAAGAAACCCTGGTAGGTTTTGAGAAGAAACGCTAGAGGGAAGCCATACCCACCTAACCTGAGGATTCCAAAGAGTCTTCCAGACAATATGGACAATGACTGACACCAGATTTGTACTTATTGTGAGAGAGATAACCACACTGCCACGGAATGCTACCGAAAGAAGAATGTATGTCTGAAATGAGGCAAGCCTGGCCACTGGGCGAGGGACTGCTCTATATTGAAGGCCGAGGGCGCTCGAAGACCCAAGGTCGAGTTTTCGCACTTACCGAACAAGAGGTCAAGGCATCAACCTCGGTGATCATAGGTATGCTCTCAATTTGTGATATTAATGTTAAGGTCTTAATTGACCCTGGATTCTCTCACTTATTTGTTGCACCCCATTTTGCCTCTTACATGAATGTTGCACCTGCATGTCTCAATTATACTTCAGTAGTATGCATGCCTGTGAGAGGCTATATAAAAACTGATATAATATATAGGCAGTGTAAGCTTACGATTGATGGGTGCAACCTACCTGTGGATTTAATCAACCTAGATATTCATGACGTTGATGTGCCTCTAGGCATGGATTGGTTGTTTACATACTATGCCACTATCAACTGCCATGAAAAGACGATAACCTTTAAATGTCCCGATCGAGCAGAAATACACTTCAGGGGCATTAGGGACAATTCCCCACTACACCTCATCTCTGCCTTTTGGGCCTCTCGCCTTTTGGCTAAGAAGTGTAAAGGGTACCTAGCTTATGTGGTAGAGAATCGGGGTGTTCAGACCGAATTGGAAGGGATACCAGTAGTAAAAGAATACCCTGAGGTGTTCCCAGAGGAATTGCCATCCCTACCTTCAGAAAGAGAAATCGAATTTGAGATAGAAGTAATACTTGACACTGCTCTCGTCTCCAAAGCCCCATATAGAATACCTCGAGCGGAATTGAAAGAGTAGTTACAAGAATTATTGGATAAGGGATGCATCTGACCAAGTGTGTCGCCCTGGGGTGCACCGGTCCTATTTGTGAAGAAAAAGGATGGGTCATTGAGATTATGCATTGACTATAGGCAGTTGAACCAAGTGACGGTGAAAAATAAGTACCCTCTGCCTTGGATTGACGACCTCTTTGACCAGCTCCAAGGGGCCCAAGTGTTTTCAAAGATTGACCTCCGATCGGGTTATCATCAATTGTGGGTCAAGGAGGGAGACATCCCAAATACCGCTTTCAAAACTCAATACGGTCATTATGAGTTTCTTGTGATGCTGCTCGGGTTAACTAATGCCCCCGCTGTGTTTATGAATTGATGATTATGGTGTTTAGACCCTTCCTAGATGACTTTGTAGTAGTTTTTATCGATGACATCTTGGTATATTCAGAGAGTCGAGAATTGCATGAACAACATCTAAGAATTGTCTTGCAAACCTTGAACTCAGAGAGATTGTATGCTAAGTTGAGCAAGAGCGAGTTTTGGCTCCCTAGTGTGGCCTTCTTTGGGCACATTATTTCTAAGGATGGAATCATGGTCGACCCCTCTAAGATCGAAGTTGTACTTAAGTAGGAAATACCAACAAATGTGACCGAGGTTCGTAGCTTTCTAGGATTAACGGGGTACTACAGGCGCTTTGTAGAAGGATTCTCAAAGATAACGCTTACCCTGACTCGATTGACCCAGAAGAATGCAAAATTTATATGGTACAAGAAGTGTGAGAGGAGTTTCCAGGAATTTAAGAAGAGACTAGTCATAGCCCTAATATTGTCCTTGCTCGAGGGGAATGAAGGCTTTGTGGTTTACACTGATGCATCCCATAAAGGGATCGTATGTGTACTCATGCAAAGAGGTAAAGTCATTGCTTATGCCTCTAGACAACTAAAGCCGTATGAGTAGAACTATCAAACTCACGACTTGGAGCTCGCGGCAGTAGTGTTTGGGTTAAAAATCTGGAGGCACTACCTCTTTGGGGCCTAGTTTAAGGTGTTCACGGACCATAAGAGTCTCAAGTCCCTATTTTCCCAGAAAGAGTTGAATATGAGGTAAAGAAGATGGATGGACTTACTGAATGATTATGATTATACAATTGATTACCAACCAGGCAAAACTAATATAGTAGCTGACACCGTAAGTCTAAAAGCCGTGGTCTCTATGGCACATTTGCTGGTTCGAGAAATGAAGCTATTAGAGGATGTGGTGGAGTGGCGCCCATCTTAGCCCCATAGTGAGGGGGGAGGAATGTTGTCGTGTCTAAGGATGGAACCCCAACTCCTTCAACGAATCCGAGCAGCTCAAAAAGGAGATCCTCAGCTAATAAAAATCCTTGAAGAATTGAAAATGGAAGGAAAAAAAGATTTCTCGATGAGCAGTGATGACTTGTTAAGGTTTAAGGACCGAGTGTGTGTTCCTAATGATGAGAATATAAAGAGGGCTATCCTAGAGGAAGCACACGACTCCCGCTATACCGTACACCCAAGGAGTACAAAGATGTACCAGGATTTTAAAAAGACCTTCTGATGGAACAACATCGCTATATAGTATACCCAGAGAGTACAAAGATGTACTAGTATTTACAAAAGACCTTATGATGGAACAACATGAAGCGAGATGTGGCACAGTTTGTCGCTAAGTGTTTGACGTGCTAGTAAGTGAAGGCAGAATATCATAAACCTGCTGGACTACTGCGGCCCTTGCCCATACCAGAGTGGAAATGGGAACACTTCACGTTGGGCTTTGTTTTTGGATTACCAAAATTAAGTGCAAGGCATGATAGTATTTGGTCGTGGTGGACCAATTAACCAAAGATGCTCACTTTTTACCGGTTCGCACTAGCTATACTCTAGATAAGTTGGTCCAGTTGTACCTCAGAGAAATTGTGAGATTACGCAGGGTGCTCATTAGCATTGTGTTAGACAGAGACACCAGATTCACCTCCAGATTTTGGGTAAGTCTGCAATTAGCTTTGGGGACCAGACTTACTTTTAGCACCACCTTTCACCCCTAAACATATGGACAGTCAGAGAGAACCATTCAGACCTTAGAGGACATGTTAAGGGCGTGTGTCACTGACTTTAAGGGAAGCCGGGAAGACCATCTACCTCTGATAGAATTTACTTACAACAACAGTTTCCAAGCCAGTATTCAGATGACACCTTATGAGGCCCTGTAGGGAAGAAAGTGTAGGTCGCTCATCTGTTGGGATTAGGTGGGCGAAAGAAGATTATTAGGGCCTGATATAGATCATATGACTTCTGAGAAGATTGTCTTAATATGAGAGTGGCTCAAGATAGCCTAAAGTCGGCAAAAGAGTTACGCCGATAATCGCCGGAGAGACCTCGAATTTGAAGTGGGGGATCGGGTCTTTTTGAAGGTATCACCAACCAAGGGGTGTTATGAGATTTGGTAAAAAAGGGAAATTGAGTCCACGATTCATTGGACCTTTTGAGGTCTTGGAAAGAATTGGAAGTGTGGCTTATCGACATGCTCTAACACATGAACTGGCCAGCATCCACAATGTCTTTCATATGTCACAACTGAGGAATATCAACCTGCCCATCCTATGTCTTGGAGAATGAACCAATTCCATTAAGGGAAGATTTGACCTATGTTGAACAACCAATTGGGATATTAGACAGGAGAGTACAAGTGTTGTGTAACAAAGAAATTCCTTTTGTCCAATTGTAATGGTAGTATTATTCAAGGGAAGAATCAACATAGGAGCAGGAAGATGAGATTAGAAAGAAATACCCCCACCTTTTTGGTTAATGTTACTATGATTTTGAGAACAAAATCCTTTTTAAGGGGGGGATGATGTAAGGACCACAATTTTCTCCTAGTCCAGTGATGCGCACGACGATGGAGAGTGAAATAGAGGCCTAGTGCCGTTTGGAGCATCACCGCGCGTGTTTAAGACGCAGCGCCAGCTGTGTAA